ATAATATAATAATAAGTTAATACATATAATAATAAAATAATATATAATAATAAAATAACACATAATAATAATAAAATAATATATAATAATAAAATAATATATAATAATAAAAAAATACATAATAATAATAAAATAATATATATTAATAAAATAATATATAATTATAAACTAATATATAATAATATATATTAATAAAATAATATATAATAATAAACTAATACATAATATAATAATATATAATAATAAAAATAACATATATATTTTTCTATTCAAAACGCAATTTAAGCTACTACTGTTTTTAATTTATTCATAATAAATATATATGTAAAATTGACTTCTGTGGTATACACAATTTTAATTTTACTCTTTTCTTTAGTTCTTGATGGTAAAAAAAAAACAATCAGTGTGAAGATAAATGGGTCAGAACTTCATTGTGATTTTATCGCACAAGTTAATAGGAGCGTTATACTGGATTCACACGAGAGTTTTATAATTTGTTTATAATTTAAGCTTACAATTGTTGTCGCTTTTCATGCAAAATGAAAATTTTTGACAGCTAAAATTACAAAAAAAATTCTCGTGTAAATTCACTATTAGGCTTGTCAATGTTCAACTCATATAAGTCCACATACACATTTCAAAATAGGTGAACTTACGAAAACTGACACGCAACTCTCCGATATTCATTTTTCGGATATTAGTTTCAGTTTTGCAACGGCTAAACTGATAATTAAATGTAAATACCCGATGTTTGACCTGTTGAAAATCTGAATAGACAAAGGCCTACCTGGTCCAAACAGTACATAATCCACACTAGTCACCTATTTTAACTTAAATGTAACCAACAGGTCATATTAGGAAGTATTGCAGTATCACTTAGACTACTCTGTAATCACATTTGTGGGAGTTGTGGGTCTGTAAATGAGAAAAATACTGTACTGCACTTTAAATATCAGTGCTCATCATTGGCTAGAAGGAGATCAAAATTCTTTGGGGTGTCTCTTCTATCTGTCCTGATAAGCCGTCATCTTTTGAAATCAGGCACGTAACCAAGTTTATAGGCTTGTCAGCTTTATTCTTTTGTACATGAATGCGGATGTTGCCCCTTTTCAAAGGACCCTGCTCCAACTCAAAATAATGTAGTCCAGATCTAATCTTGGAAAAAAATGTCTAGTTATGGATATAAGCACAAAACCACAAATATATGATTGCGAGTATTCGTCTGGCTAGACCTTTCATAACCATTAAGTTCCTGTTAAAAAGAAGCAATAAATAAGGAAAAAAATGGTTGAGAAGAAAAGATAAAAGGAGAGAGAGGGATTAGAGTTCAGTTAAAACTGTATTTCCAAGTTACATATGTTAGTAAAAATTATTATTGAATTCGAATGATAAGAATTTTTCTTTTTTGTTTGGACAATAGCCGGTTTTGCACAGGGTGATAATCGGTATAGTTATTTGATTATCTAAGTAATAACATATGTAGTAATAGGCAGATTGCTGCATTTAAGAGGTTTATAAACGCACAGGCGTACATCCATAAATGCTACTCAAAAAAAGTTGCTTATTTTTGTCACACGTAGGAGACTGCAGCATGCAAAAAGCACATTTATTTTAAAATGTTGTAAGCATTTTATAAAAACTAGGATATAAGATTGAAAAAAAATATAATAAATAGATGAGATTACGGAGTTTAAGTCAAACCTGTACCAAAGTTGGGAAGCTTTTGTTTTAAATAAATATAAAATTATTTTACTATAATTAAAAAAAAATTAAACACGACGTTTAGTAAATATTTAAAACTGGTAAGGCAGGCAAGGCTTGTGTCACAAAAAAGATTCATAACTGTCTAACTGTCTAATAAAACCAAAAATAAATAGTAGAATTTTTAACGAGGTTAATAACCCAGGAATAGCACAAAGAGGCTTTACGTTTCGAGTAAATGTATTTTGTGGTAAGTACTATGTTACTCGATTACAAAGCGCGTTGATCGAGATCGTTAAAACTTCTATTGAATTACTTCGAAATTGTTTTATCATCTAAATTTGCTCAATTTATTATAAAATAATTTGCTTCTGCACATCACGATGTACTGGTGTTTCATTTGAACTTTTTGTTGCTAGCTTAACTTTCTCGATTATTATTAACGTTGTTCATCAGTATCATTTAGTTTATATCCCATCATTGCAATGTTTTGGTGGTATTAAAAAATTTTTTATTTTTATATCTGTCAAAAAGAACTTGGAAATTTAAAATAAAACACAAAATATTCAATTATTTATAAACATATTCAAAGTAGACCCCATGTGATACAGCACACATGTGAAATAAATTCTTATAAGCGCTATCCACGATGACCTTAAGTACCACTTATGCATCTTGCTTTATGCGTTCTTTCGATTTAAAACGTTTTCCTTTCATTTATATACGGATATAGATGGATAACTTCTATATTTTAATTTTAATTGTATTATATAATATATATAAATGTTTGGTGGAGAGCTAATCATATATCTAATCTTAATCTATCCAATATACTTTACCCAAAAGTATTCAGACTTCACTACCAGGTAAATCCTTAAGGCGCTTTCAAGAATTTACACAATTTGATGCTTTCACAAAAAGGTTGACCCACCTGGCAGCTGCCATTAATTTTTTCTCAAAACTTCAACGCCATGTTTCGACATTCGTAAAAGCTACGTTGTCTATTCCGTAGAAAATAGAGAATGCGTTTTTTATTTTCCATTATTTTAAAAACGGATTCGATTTTGCAACAACGAGTTTGCATAAAATATTGTGTAAATAATGAGACGAAGGCATTAAAAATATTGCCTAAGTGTTTTAGCAAAATCAAACGTTTATTTATGGCACGTTATGTATGTTATTTGAATAAAAATTATTACTGACATTTTTAGTCTATTTTTCTTATTATTATTTTCGAATTTTGCCTGTGAACAAAAATCTGTTCACCTGTGAACCTGTGAGTTTATACAAAAATCCTTTCAAAACCTAACCGGTGAAAACCATGATTAAATTCTCTTCACAAATATATAAACATATTTCTAATTCTTTATATGCCAAAAATTGCAAAAGTATTTCATAAATTAAATTTTAAAATTAATTATCCCTAATCTTTTTAAATTATTGTGAATTCATATTTTTAAATTTAAAAACTATTTATTTTCTTTTAGTTTTTAATTTATTGTTGCCTTTTGTATTTTGCTTGTTTTTTTATTATTTTTTTTATTGTTACAGAATAATGAAATAATTATAATTATTTTTAAGGAGTAGAGGAAAGGCAAAGTATATCATATTTTTTTAATTTCAATTCATAACGATTAGTAGATTAGTTTTACAATAAGTTTTGAACTTATACGAATTAAACATGTTTTGATTATATGTGCTTTTTAACATATAATATAAGCAATCTTTTTTACTAAATTTTCATATATAAATTGCATAAAAAAAATAGGCGGAAACATTACATATTAAATTATACAATTATTATTTTTTTTAATACAATTACATGCAGAGAACTTTACAATAAATAGATATTAGTCAAATTTTAAATAATTTAAATTAGTCCATATATGATAAAAAAAAATGCATTATTTAATTTTTCTAAACACAAAATTGTAAATTAAACATATTAGTTATACTATAAATTGTTGTTTTACGAAAACCACAATACAGTGTAACGACAACGAACTATAGCAATTTTTGATATAGTTGAGCCCTCTATGCACATAATATAGAATTTTATATATAATTTTTAATTGCAAGAAAGCATTTGTTTTAAGTGATTTTATTTAAAATTTGCACTATTAAAAGGCATTTGTGGATTATACTATTAAATTTGTTTATTGTTCAAATAAAAAGGATCTGCTTAAATTTGCTTTTAAATTTTGAAGCGGTTTTGAAGTAGCGTCAAAATATACAAATATTGTTTTGTGTATATAAAAACCCAATTAAGAAAAAAAATTTATTAAAAAATCTATTAAAATAAAATGTTCGTGTATATCATTTATTTAACAAATAAAAAAATATTATTCTTTGTACGTGTAACATATACAAATACTCGTACAAATGTTTAATTTAATTAAATTATGAAAAATACAACTAACTACAAATATATTTATCAACCATAGTCGGCTTTCTTTCTTGTTTCTATTTAAAAGTTTTCACTTTACATTCAGACCACTCTTTTTTTAAAATTACAATTACTTTATATTTACTTTTTTTTTAATTGTAATAAAATAATGATTATAATTTTAATTATAAAAAACTAATACCATAACATGCCAAGTTTTTTAAAAAAATAAAATTTTAATTATTAAAAAATTTGTTAAAAAATAAATTAGTTAAACACTAGTAAACACTTTTTTATAGAAGTATTTGATTAAGAAAAAAAACTGGCATAAAACTGATTTTTTAAGACATAATTCATAAATATATATATAAATACAAAGCTAAGAACATAATCTACATAAAACAAATATACATACAAGAAAATATATTTCAAAGAAAACGTTATATCAATACATCTTTTATTTTTATTGAAAAATTTTTAGATTGTAGATATCATCTTCTGTGTTAGGAATCTTATATAGCACTATTGCCAACCAGGTATATTCTTTATTTGTTTTCATATGAGAAATAGAATTGAACTGTTAGAAATTTTTTAACAGTTTGGACTCAAACTCATAAAATTAATAAATTTTATTTAATTCATTCTGAATATAAACTGAATAAATATATTCTATTTGTGAATATTTTTTTTAATGTTTGCTGCTTAAGCCGTAAATAAATGTTTATCTAAAATTATTGTATTATACTTTATAATATCATATTACGTATAACCACCATGTCAATATATATTATTTTATATAGAAAGCAATTTAATTTTATAAAATTAAAGCAAAATTTTTAAATTTTTTACGTGTGTTCATAAATTTAAAGTTTTCTAACTTATTTATTTTTACTTTAATATTATTTTCCTTCAGTTCAAAAACAATCTCAAATATTAATAATATTGCATAATATATTAACTATTATTATTAGAATTAATAGTTATTGTGGCGCTGTTGCTTTTACATATAAGTTTACCAAATACACAGAAGCTAGGCATAAAATATTTTTGCATAGATGCTCTTATTTGTGCATTTTAAATCGTTTAAATATTTTTAAAAATTCTAAAATATATACTTGCAAAAGCTTATTATCTTTTTTAGCTTTACTGTATTCATTTTTTGCTAATATTACTTTCGCATTTTAGTAGTAGTTCTAACTTTTTTCTCCAGTTTTCTTTAACTTTTTAAATCTTTGATTTTTAGTTTGTGTTTAGATTTCTAGAATATATTTAATTTGTATATAATTTTTATTATATGTTTTACATAAATAAACTAATAAGATCTCAGTATGAATTATGCTTCTTTCTAACCACATTTACAAATCATGCTTAGATTCTTCATTTATTTTCAAAGCACATCTTTCACTAAACGTTTCTGTTCTGTTCTGTTTCTGTTAAGCATAATAGTTTTGCTTTTTAATTTCTTTCAATATATACGGTTTTATTTATATTTTCATCTTTCATAAACTATGCATACTTGCAATTTCATATGTTATTTTTAAAGCCTTAATTTCTAGTAACCATAATTTGTCGCATAAATTATCTTAAAATAAATATTTACTTTCCCATTCATGCAAGCTATCAGAAGTATATTTTCTGCAACATTTTCAAACTCACAGCAATGATATATCTAAACGAAATAAGTTTATAATAAGACATAAGACTTAAATTAGATCAATAAAATATTACCTTGGTTATCGTGACTATCAGCAGTGACTAGTGTTGCTGTAGTTGTTGTAGTCAGTAAACTATTATTATTATTGAAATTAACTGTATTAAGGTCTTGTGACTCAATGCTTAGATCAATCAACTGATTCGGTGCTACATCTTGTAAAATATTAATATCGCTTAAAAAATTAAAAAAAAGAACAATTAGATATATATATATATATACATACAAATTTTTATATTTATAACGTACATATAAACATAGCATAAACATACATGTACATAGTATTTTAAAATATAATATATTTATTATTAATATATATATAAATATATTATATAGAAAAATATATATTTATATGTTTATATATATATTACATTAAGTATATATAGTATATATATACATTATATTAAATACATATTATATATATATATACATTATATTAAATATATATTATACATATATATATTAATAAATATATTAAAAATTAATAGCAAACATAAATTACTTTTTGTTATTAATATTTTCGATATGACCATTCCCATTGGCCACTGTAGTTGTTGTTGTATTTTGAAATATTATATCATCAGCATGCAGTTTGCCATTTGTTACTTCAAGAATTTGTGGTTGTTGTTGCAATTGTTGCTGTTGTAAATTTTTTACATTTTCTCCAATAATCATATTAGAGAAACTATTAATAAGTGAATTCTCCTTATCAATAACTGCTTGCTCATACATAGCCTGAGTGTTAGGAGCTTCATTACTATTCCTAACTGGCATTTGAGTTGGTATAGTTGCAGGTGTTGGAGTAGTTGTTGTAGTAGCTGTTCCTGAAGTTGAATTACTATCACTACTTGAATTTATTTCTGTAGAAGATGGTTGTGAATTTTCTTGATCATTTGAAATAGTTTTTGGAGAATCATTTTCCTATAAGAAGAGAAAGAGAGAGAGAGAGAGAGACATTCAAGTAAATTATTGTATATAATTTACAAATCTATAATTTATTTACTTTTACAGGTGTGGAATTAGGCGTAGCTGCAGCACCTCCTCTGCGTGTACGTGACATAATAGCTTCCACACGTTTTCGTCTTTCTTCGCGTTCTTTTTCTTCTCGTTTTAAGCGTTCGGCTACTTCAATTCTTTGCTTTTCAGCTTCCTCTTTCGCTTTCTTTTCGGCTTCTTCACGCTCTAATCGTAGTTTATCATCTTCTTCACGTTTGAGACGTTCTTCTTCATCACGTTTTTTTGCTTCCTATATGTATATATATTATTTAATTAAATGAAAATATTACAGTTTCAAATAATATTCAAGTTCTTTAAAGCTTCGAAGCTTCGAGCATTATTATGCTTAAGTATGCCTGACTAGAAAACACAACAGATCTGTTGTTCGAACATTCTATGTGTTTGATCCAAATGTTTAAATTTAAGAATTTTCAAGCTGCTCGTAATACTCTAACATTTGAACTCTAACATAATAATTTATGAATATTAAATTATTCAGATTTGTGATGAAGTGTTGTGAAACCGTGACATTAATGGATATTTGAGAAAGTTTTTTCTTATAGATTCTTATACTCTTTTTAGTTTCAATTTTGTTAACGTTAAACATTTGTTGAAGAAATTTTAAGCTAAAATGAATAAAGATAACAATTTTGTGGCTTCAAATAACAGCAGTGAGTATCTCCCTATAATCAATTTGGCAAACACAATTATTAGAGAGGATGTTGAAGACAGCTAGTTGATAAAGTTCGTAGCGAATACGGAATAATACAGATGGTTATATAGAATGTTGAGTAGATAAAGTAGCTATAGACTCTACGCTATACGCTAAGTGGTAATAGCACGCAAAATATTTCAATGAAAAATGATAATGATTACAGTGATTAAAGTTTTGTCTTTTTCTTTATATCAAGTATTCGCTTTATTATTAATCAAACAATCATGATTAAATAGAATCCAGGCGTGTTTTATTTAAAATATAAATAAGATTGACTTATTAGCCCATAAGATTGACTTATTGAATTTGGCTGACGCCATTCAATAAATTAATCAAATTTCTTGTTGTTGTTTCTTCATTACTGTTCGAACCTTTCTAGTTTTCTTCTTATCATAAGACTCGTAAAACTCAACAAAAATAATTTATTTTTTTTTTAAGTTTTGTGAATATTGTTGTATAGAAAAATGTGACATTGTAGTAAATGTGGTATAGAATGACAATAAATGTGCATTATATAATATAATAATTTAATGACTTCTATTACAAAAGTAAATCACACAAAATAACATTTACCTCAATGGCTTGTCGCAAACGTTCTTCTTCAGCCTTACGTTGCTCTTCTGCCAAGCGCGTTGCTTCTTCTTCGAATTTACGTTGACGTTCCGCTTCCTCCTCTTGACGTTTAATTTCTGCTTGTCTTTCAGCCTCTATACGCTGACGTTCGAGTTCTGCTTGCCTTTCGGCTTCTTCACGTGCTAAACGCCTTCTTTCCGCAAGTGCAGCTTTTGCTTCTTCCTCAGTTGTTATTTTTTTTGCAATCATAGACGCTGTCATCAAATCGTTATTATCGATTTGTTGTTGTGTTGGAGGCGTCAATTCACGTACCTCTGAATTTTCTTTACTACCATTACGTATGGGTTTTGAAATTGAGGATTCAGTTTCTTGTACAATATTATCAATATTCTTCTCATTGCCTACATCGACTTTTTCCTCAGTTACCGTAACAGTAGTAGTAGTCGTTTCCGCCTCAGTAACCAAATTCTGTGAAGTTGTCTGTTGGACATTTGTTTCTTCCGTTTTAACTGCATTTAAAGCATTCTTTTCATCCTTGCTCTGAATTGTAGGTAATACTTCATTTATATTTTCAACATTATCGTTATTGTTTGACGTAGCTGTTATTGTAGTTTTTGTTGTTGGTGCAACATATGCTGACTTTGTCATTAAAACGGACATATCCTTTGGTTTATCCTTGCTGATTTTATTTAAACGATCTGAACTTGCAGTTTTCGAAAGAGATTTCGGAGTTGAAGATTTTGATGCTAAAGGTGAGTCCTGTGGGAAAGTTAAAATAATGAGAGTCATAAAAACATAATACATATTTAAAAACTTTAATTTAGCTTACTTTTTTGGATGGAGTTCTTTTCTCTGCGCTTGACAGACGTGAAGAAGATGATGTTACTATTAATGAAGTAGACATCATATTTGTTGTTCGTTTCGGAGTTGTTTGTGCTGATGCGGAGGCTGTAGATGATTTCATTGGAGGTTTGTTTTCTTTCTTCAATTTATTTATTTCTAGAGAAGATAAAATTATATTATTTTTGAAATCATTACATTTGTACTGTTTAAGAGACAATATTATTTTAGGATTAAAAATTAAAATAATACATAAAATATTCATATTATTATTGCTTTGAGTCTTTTAAACAATTATATTAAATTATAAAATAATAAATTATTTGAAGGAATAAATAAAGAAAAAAAAAAATTGCATACCATCAAGGGAAACACCCGTACCGGCTATACTTGCAGGGCGTGGTTTTCGCACTGTTTGTGCACTCCTTCTGTTCACGAAACCTGAAGTTGACATATTTGTTGATGTGGACATTGCACTTCCCGGTCTTGAAGTATTTATGCTGCCGCCTGGTGTAACATTACCTGATCGGGAACCTAATGTTTAAACAATATATAAATATTACTGCGTTATTATATGTTAATAATGTATAATTGTACGATAAGATGATACCTTCATAAGAAAGAATATGGGGAAAACATAAAATGAGGATAACCGACACCAGTAAGTAAAACATGGGCGAAAATATACAAACAAAAATAAAACCCCCAAAACCAAAATAAAGGAAACACGATTATATACATATATGTTATCTAAAAAAAGTAAGAAGGAAATTGTATACAAAAAAGTAATAATTTTTAATTTTTTTTTTATAAATTAGTATTATCCTCGTGATATTCTGAATTGCACTATTTAAATGTAGAAGTGTATACATAATAAAAAAGTTTAATAAGTTTTGATGCATATGAGCAAGCATAACAACATATAAATATGGTAGGAGATTCATCAAACAAAATGGCAACATGAGCTGCATTCAAAAATTAAATAATTTAAATAAAAAGAAAATTAGTTTAATTAAAAACAAGAATATTTAAAAATGAAGTAGAAAAAAAAGTTCAAAAGAAAAATGTAGTGTAAAATGTAATTATTCTGGTGCTAGACAACTCGAAATGTGTGCTTGGACAACAACATTTTAAGCTAGGAAAGAATCGAATAAATAATTTACTATAGCAGTTCCAAATAATGGAAATATGGTTAATATGCATTTCTTGGTTAAATAAGAGTTGTAAAGAGAGGTAGGCAAAATGCACACACACCTGCTGTTATTAAAAAACTAGAGTTCATGAGCAACAATGAGTTTGGATCGAAACGGTATGGGTTAGTAAAATGCTGCTGGCCTCTTTTAGTTGCAGATGTAGATGAAGCTAGTGATGATTGCAGATATTTTTTAGTTGCAGCTGTTTGTAAGCCTAAATTGGATCGCGGTGGTGTATTAACCCAAGAATTGGTCAAATGTGTCATACTCGTACTTTTAATGCCATCCCGTGCACTGCTGTTACTGCCCAATGGACGAAAGCTGGTTGATATGCCACCACCAAGTGAATATTTAGGACGCGAATTACCAGCCAAATGAGTCATACTACGTGACATTGTGCTATTACCGCTACTATTATTACTTTTGTTCTTACGACCAGTTGTGCGACGTCCACCACCTAACGATTCGGTTTCATCGAACATTTCCATATGTTCCCGACGTTCACGTTCCAATATAGCACGTATATGTTCACCATTACGTCGTATTGGTTGCGCCAATTGATCCAAACGTGTCATTGAGAAGGCGCGGCCTTGTGGGTTGAAAGGTGTTGAATGAGTTTTAAGTACTTATTAATGAATTGTTTATTTTTTGTTTTGTTTTGTTTTGTTTTGTTTTTAAATAAAAGTGTAATTTTATTATGTTGGGTGAAGAAAAAAAAATTTCAATTTCTATATAAAAATTTAAATTGGTGCATTTAAACATCGAGAGTGCGCGTTTACATTTTACATTTTCAAAACGAAAACATAATTTTTTGATCAAAATTTAAAAACGAATATAAATAAAAATCGATTACGAGTATATTTTTTAATAAAAGTATTGAAAACAAACTAAGCTTTTGCAAATAATAATATAAAATTAAGAAATTAAAAGAAATAATAATTATTTTAGTTTTTACTAACGATAAATCAGCATAAGCGCATGCTAGTATATATAAATAGACTAAAAATAATAATAAAAATTTTAATAGTTCCTTTCAAACGCATTTATATATATAATATATATACTTAAGAAGTGCATTAAAATCTCCAGAAATATCTATCACATAGGTTTTCCTATAAGTCTCTAAAGAAGAACGTACTTCCTTTCAAGTCTTGTACCATTTTATATGTGTACTCTCAACTGTGTTATATAACAGAGCAAAAGCTATTTTAGACAGTATATCGATGTCGAAATAAATATCATTTTGAAGCTTTATATAATTGCATATCCCCGTATATGCGCCTTATGAGTTATATAGTATCAGTATCAGAATCGTATCATCATAATATGAAAATTTCTTTTATTGTTTTTCTTATGAACTTGGATGAAAGCAGTTGTTTACGGGGTATTTAAACGCTTACCTGGAGTTCTAGGCGTATGACTTAATGAAGATCTGGAACCATAATGCCCATCCCTTGGGCTAGGAATTGTAGGCATAAGATCTGTTTTTCTGCGGGCCACACTTCGAAACACGATATGTGATGTGTCAACATTATCTTCTGTAAATTTTTTTTAATTTTGTAGGATTTTAGAATTTTGAATTTCAGATCTTAAAAAATTAGCATTGAGCATTCTAAGCTTAGAGATAAACCGACGACGAATATATTATATAGCAAAAGGAATATTTTTAAGGCAATAACATGCGAGAACAATACAATACTTCCAACTTAATATTATTAGCTAGGAAACTATTTAAATTACTGCGTGGCTTTTAATTGGCTTACAATTTTAAAAGCTCAGATAAAAAAGTTAACAAATTAAACAAAATTCTTATAAAAGAAACAAAGCAACTTTTAATTGTAAAATAAAGTTAAGCAAAAATAAAAAATATTTATATATAAATAAATTATAAACAAAAAAACTAAATTGCTATATAAATTGCAGTTTAATATTAAAATTAACCAAAAAATATATATACTTAAAAAGTTTTTTTAATGAAAAATTAAAATATTTTTGTTTTTCTACTTTGGAGTAGTTTATTCCATTGACAAGTCAATTGTAATGTAGAAAAAAAATTTCAATTTCTTCGTACTAAGTAAAATTTTTACAAGTACTGTAAAACAAAATAGAAACAATAAGAAAAATAAAAAAAAATGCATAATGGAACACTTGAAGATCCATGTAGATAAGTCTCAAGTAAATGGTAAATTTTATTTTGATTATTTTATTTTAAATATTATATATTTCAACATTTATAAAAACTTGCAAATATTGTTACTACTAATATAATTAATTAAAAACTATATAAATGAAGAAAGAATTGATCATTGTGATCAGTTTATTTTATATTGAAATTTGATTATTACTTATCGTATTTTATTAGTAGGATAATTGTCATTCAAATTTTTTTTCTATAACCAAGCCTCAATGGCTTGATTGAGATAATAAAAACGATTCGATTGATTGGCCTCAGTATCTTAACACATTGATTCAGTTAAATCAACAAAATTTGTCGTTTATGTTTACGAAAAGGTCCCTTCAAGAACTGAAATCTTAATAACGGATTATTTTTTAAGTTTTTTTTCATATACTCTAGTAACAGTTGAAGGACAAGATCTGAAAGATACTGCTAATGCACGGAGTATTAAGGAAACTAAAATCGTTGATAATAAAAATATTAAAAAACACAGCTTATAGTACTGCAATTCAACTATAATATCTACTCACATAACAGAAAATGTGAGAAGTTATGAGCTAACATATCTATTTAATTCAGGAACTACGTACGATGACCAGAAAAATATTTAATGTTTGGAAAAGACCGGACCCAACGTATATCGTAAAAACAAAAATATAAGGTTTTGTTTATTTTAGCAATATAGTAAAAATTATTAAGTATTATAAGTACTATTATGGGTGTAAGTTTTAATTCTTATTTTATGTTATTTGAAAATATCGACAGTCTAATGGTAGTCTACCATTATAGAATCTAGAAACAGATCTGTTCAAAGCTGTAGTTGATCTGGCTTTACTAATAGCTAATGAGTAGATTCTGTGCCAGACTGGAATAATAAAAGAAACACAAACTCTGGATTAAAAATTAATGTATTATAAAAAAAATGTAATTACATTAAAATTGATGTATTATCAAAGAGCAAAGAAAAGACAAGAACAAAAATTTGATGAATTATAAAAAAACAGTAATTATTGAATTTTCCAAACAAATAAACTTGTCCACCTTTAAAATAGGTCAACTGTATCAAAGTTCCAATATCCCGAAGTTCAGTTCAAAAATAACAATGATACAAAGCTAATTTAAATGATAAGTACAGTTTGGATATATAATCCACCATTGCTTCGGTGAATTAATAATAAAAAAACTGGTAGTTTATACTGAGATCTAAGATAAGAAAAAAATTAGACTGCAAAAGATATAGGTAACCAATGCGAAAACAGATCAAAAAAAAAAAAAGAAGTAAATGGAAGTTAAATGACAAGCTTACGTCTTCTATTGGTTATTGATAATAAAGATAATTATAAAAAAAGTCTTGCAAGCTTCAAGAGCGACCGGGTCTACGTCCCGGAGTTACTCATCGATTCGGCGACCAAGTATCGTTACACTCCCAAAACGGACTTTACAAGCAGATTTCGGTGGACTACAACAAATTCTTGCAGAAATTTACCAAAATTTTGTATATAGTAGGTATGACATTTTTATAGACCTGCATATATAATATGTGCTAAAACTGTTGCTTTTAGTGATTAGGTATTGAGGGACATAAAATATTTGGTTCAGATCTAAAAATTTTCAAACACAGATATTTATATATTTAGACAATAAATACAATTATTATTCTTTAATGTATATCTAAACAATTCTTTAATAATTTAATATACTAAATTGGATTGAATAAATTGGATAAATTTTTACAATATATATTAATTTACTATAAAAATTTTAAAATCATTCTGTATCAGTATTACGAATATATTCAAGTATTTCATTACAAAATGAAGAAAACAAAAATTTATCACCGTAATTTGTTTATGTTACTTAAAGGTTTAGCTTTTTTTACTGAACACATAGACATTTGATAGGAATTATTTAGATTAACTGAAGGCACGAAAATCTGTCAAAAAATCTGTCAAGAAAATCAAGCAAAAAAACAACAAACGCAAAATGATATTTTCGTATTTAAATTTTATATGTATAAAAAAAGAGAAATTAATCAAGTAAGTACATTTTGTAAGTTTTTAGTGCTTGTCGATAAGTACTGCTGTTCATACGTTGCATGTTAACATAGCTCAAATACGCATATACATAGATAATGATTTTCGAATAAACATATAAAAAATTGTAACACCAGTGTGTGCACCAGTGTGTTGGGGTTGTGACTTTGAAACAACTAACTATCGAATATCAGTCAGTTAGCTATGTGACTAAACTCCGCCAGTGTGTGCCGATTGCTGATTTTGATAATGAAAAAAAAATTGGCATGGTTGCAATTTCTCAGGCACACCTATTTGATAACCGATTCTAGTAACAATAGCTCTATAAGCATTTTTGTTAATAAAACTTGGTTTTAGAAATTTTGAGCTTTGTAGTTGAAATTGTTTAATTATTTATCACTAATGCGTCATTTATGAAATGAAACCTTTGCCATAGTATACTATTACTGCAATTAGTTGTTTACCAAAGCGATCCAGTTTATCTAGTTATGTTTTTTGATCTGATTGCAAAAGAAAATAGGTCTAAAAAAACTTTGTGCACTGCGACCACAAAATTTATGGTAATGAACATTTTGTCATAATTGAAAACCTTATCTATGATGCATAATACATTTGTTCTAGAGTGTTTGCATAATTAAGACCTAACTGAGATACAAAACGAATATTTATAGTTAAAAAAAAATAATAAAAAAAAAATTATTAAAATATAATAAAAAAAAATTATACTATAGTTCTAGAAGTTAAAGGGCTGCTATACACAAATTCTTTATAGAATTTTAGATACAATAGATACAAGGTAGTATCATGTATTTTGTTTTAAAATGTTTAGTTTGATTTTAGTCATCATAATTCATTTATAATTATATGATTGAATTAAAATTAATATAAAAAAACGCAACATGCGGTTACTAATACTTAACAATGTTTAAACATAACATGCCTATTAAACGGGTTTAGGAACTGCAATTTATTTCCAACATATTGTAAACAAAAACAAAAATATATATATAGAACATATTTATATATTAGATTTAAGTTAGGGACAAATTTATAAACATAAATTAAAAATGGTAGAAAAAACAATATATGGATGCTTAAGACGTTTTAGTAACGTAACACCCTCACCCTTGACTGCACAACTATTGTTTGTGATAGTAAAGTGATTCGAGTTTTGCCTGTGCGGTGTGGATAAATTGGCAGGAGAACGATTTTTAGCAGGCGTAGGAGGATCATCAATATTTATTTCACTGCCAACAATTGATAGTGAGAAACGTTTTGGAGGTTCATCAGTCGAGTATCCCCAATTGAAAACCTCATACATGGATGATGATTTACGTCGATGATCTGTTATGTTGTATAAAGTTCATATATGTACAAAGAAAATACTGTGTATTTGAGTAATTGAGTGATTTGATTGATTGTTTTAAATATTAATTGAAATGTGTGCACACAAATTAAGAAAGAAAAATTATATTAAATCAAAATAACAAAAAAAAAAAAAATAATACTCAAATTGTATATAAATGTAGAAGAAACGTGAAACGTTCAAACAAAAGTTGCGTGCGGCATTTGATATACATAAATACGAGTAAATCAAATAAAGGTACATCATCTCATAATAAAATGAAATAATTAAAAATATTGTAGCCAACATTTAATTAAACTTCATTTTTACTAAACATGACTGACTACACATATTCATAATATTCATAATACGTATATTAAAACGTTTAAAAGAAAGTAGCAAGTTCATTGACATGAGTACCAAACTCTTAACAGAGCGTATAACTTTTTTAAATATCACATATAAACAAATAAATAAATCGCACACATATGTATGAAGGTTTATCAAATTTCAAATATAAAGTGTACCACAAATCAAAGAATAAGAATAATAACTGCAAAGTAAACAATATTTAAGTGGATAATTAACAAAATTAATAACAATTCTCGATTGCACATTTAACAGTGCATTTGCACATGATAAAATATATATTCAGTTATGTGTATAAGATATGTAATTAAATTGCTTACCATCGTGTCGTTCTGTACCGCTGGCTGATGTGGCTCGTTTTTTGGCTCCACTGTCGGCAAGTTCACGTTCTGAACTTCGACGTGAGAGCGTAGCACCAGCAACATTTGATATTGAAGTTGACCTTAAATTTAATAATAATAAAAAAAAATAATTAAATTAAATTATAAGTAATTTTAAATTAAATTTTATATTATTTATAATAACGTGTTAATATAGTAGACACTTATAAAACTTAAGGTTCGGATATCTTAATATCATAAAAAAAAATTAAGCTTGTTTTAGTCAATCATGGATCAACTACTAAATATTTACGCATAAAATATAAATTTATATTAAATAATTAATAATTAATATAATTTATTAATAACTTATATATAATTAATATAATTTATTAATTCATTATTATAATTTATTAATTCATTATTATAATTTATATATAATTAATAAAATATACTAAATTAATTATATAGACCATGTGCGATTTCGAGTAAATTGAGGTAAAGTAAATTGAAATTTCTAAGGATTGTTTGCACTGCACTTATGTAAATATTTATTTATTTATTTACTGCACTTATTTATTATTTTTGGTTAAAAATTTTCAAATTTATTTATTAAATATCTTATACAATTTTCACAATGGTAACACCTAATTTACCTCATTTTTATCTAATTTACCCTACTTGAAATTTTGGTAAATACCAACATTCATTGCCATACCGACATATTTCACTGTTTGCCCTCAATTTACCAACAATTTACTCGAACTCGCACACGGCCATAATATATATAATTAATACAATTTATTATTTATTTATTTATTTATTTCTTTATTATTTATTATTTCTACGTTAAAACGTTTCAGTGTTTTTAACAAATTCGCACAGACGCTCTTAAATCTTAAGATTCAAACTACGTCCCAAGTCTACAGCAATTGTCTACTGTAATTTCAAATTATATAATTCACTTACCTTCGTTGGCTCCAAAATTGACTGGGCGATACTGTACCATAATCAGCTGGATCCAACAGACGTGGCGTTGATGAACCAAACGCAAAAGCTATTGAATTTCTATCTCGTTTTTTAGTTTCCAATCTTGATTCGCGTTCCTACATTATTGTATTATAAATGGGAAAATATTTAAAATTTATTTGCAAACTATTTATTAGTGTATGTAGCTAACCACCTGGTTTTTCCTCAGTATATATTCGCGACGTTCTTTCTCTGCTTCCATAATTGCACGTTTACGCTCCTCGACCTGATGACGTTTTTCAGAATCTCGATTTCTTATCTCTTCAATGCGTCGTCGTCGTTCTTCCTGCTTTTGTTCCTGATATCTTTGTGCCGCTTCTGCTTGAGCTTTGAGCTCCTCGATTTTTCTTTGTCTTTCTTCATTTTGACGTTCTCTAGCTAACTTCAGTTTTTCGTCACGGTCTTTAGCCACTGTTGATGTATGAATGCACAGCACAGCATAAATTATTATCATAAAGATAGATGGATAGATAGATAGACAAGATACCGCACACACAAATATCGAATACGTTGTTGTAGCAAAAAAAAGCAGTTAATGTTAAGTAAAATTTACCGCAAATGAAATTCACATTTCAATGTGAAATCACAAATCACAAATGAAGAAAGCCAAAATTAACAGCGGCCAGCCAAACACAGCAATATTAGAATAGAAAATAAAAAATTAAAAAAATTGAGAATTAGTTTAATTTAGATATCACTTATAGATACTTGAATGCGTTTTTTTTTTCTTTGCATATAAAAATTAAAATAATAAATGCTTAAGCAGTTTGGAGCGAGAAACCATGTATGTATGAATTGCAGAGCACACTTCTTGCAAATGCGTCGAAAATGCACCAGAAACATGCATGAAATCAAAGCCACACTAGTGCTTAGGACTATTAAACTATGGAAGAAAGCTGCGTGTTTACAAGCGAACTGAACTGATCGGTCGGCCACTGATCGTTGCAAAAGAAAAAGTAAAGGAAAAGTGAGAGCTTGGATGGATACACATGATCAAGTCGCACATAATGATTGACTCACTGACTCAGCCGCGCAATGAGTCCACACACAATGCGATTATAGACGAGTTAATTCGAGTTTTAAATATAGTAATTACATAACCGTATATAACGCTTTAAAATTTATAAATAATTGGGTTTTGTGTTGATAGGTTCGTTTTTTCTTCTAATTTACCTACTAACAAACAGCTAAAATGTATCTCTACTAAATTGAGGAATGCGCAAATTATGTTTCTCAGTAGCGCATTTGAAGCGCATTTAAAGCGCCAACATCAAACAATCTACAGCGGTTGCATCATTTAAGACATTTTGTTAATTTAAAATTGTGCCGTTATTAAATATATTTTTTTTTTTTCATTTTTAATATTTCATGCTGTGAATTTTCTTTTTTAAAGTGCATAAAATCGCATTACAGCAAACTTGACGCCGCTGTATGCATTTATACCAATTATCTACTTATAAAAACAAATAAAATTGCGTAAGAAAATGGAATGTGGCGAAGTATCAAGTGCAATTCTCTATTGTGCATAAGATAATTGCAAAGATTGTAAAAATATATATTGCAGAATCTCTGCAATGGTATGTGTCTCTGTATGGAATGCTATACAGTATATAATGCATCATAATTTTTTATAGTTCAAAAAACATTTAAAAAATCAAAAAGTAAAACAAAAATAAAGAAAATTAAATTTTTGATCATTTTCAAAAAGAAATAATATAGAAAGTGAGTGCAGAGAACGGCCACAATAAAGTAGGGAAAGAATCCATTAATCACTTTATATGCTTTTGTCTAATACTACAGACGAAGTTACGACAGTGCCTTGGAGATTGCTAATTTAATAGCCTGACAGAGATAACGGCGGTAGATTTATTAACAGGTAGATTTAATAGATTAGGTAGATTTAATTAAAAGACTATCAGATAATCTTTGTCTAGTAGTCTAAATCAGAGCCGTTCAAAACAACGTGTAGCTATATGGAAATTACGTGCAGAGAACTGCTGTAATTAAAAGGAAAAATAATGCATCAATTACTTTATACGTCTTTGTCTACTAGTCTAAATCAGAGCTGTTCAAAGCGTGGTTCTTGAGCCTCATGCGGCCCTCGACATGTTTCTAAACTTCTACAATTAGGCACATTTACTCAACTGACAAAGACTTTAGTATATATTCCTTTGTACAATTGGATCAAAAAATTATTATCCAGTGCCGTAAGTCAACTACATAAAAAATAAAATATATTTCATTTGACAATAACTAATATTAATAGTGTTGATATGGATAGAATTGTAAAAGATAAATAATTAATAAAGAATTAATAAAACTAAATTTAACATTATCGCCGTATTTTTATTATTTTCCGGCAAAATTATGAACGTATGTATATATTTCTGCGGTCTCTCCAATCTATTCAGTGATTTGAATCTGCCCGCGATCTTATCTAGTCTGGATAGCCCTGGTCTAGTTGATTCGTTTCTTTCATGGACTGCCAGGCAGAGTCAAATAGATTTATCATCAAGTAGATAAAATTGCTTCAAAGATAACACACTTTGTTATAAAGGACACAATGATCAATATAAGTCTCCTTCCATGACAACTCTGAAGTCATCACAATAGGTAAGAGTTGTCTCTGAGTAGCAGTGTTAAAATCAAATATAAAAATTAGACTAGTGCTTGTTTGTTCCAGATTGTTTTACTTACTATGCAGATGCAAGGTGATAAAATTTAAAAATTATAGATCCGTAACATTAGGTGTTGGACAGAACGCATTGAATAGCAGACACCCATTATACCCATACGGTATAATTTGAAAGGCACAACTAACACAGTTGGCTGGTACGAAACCAAATATTGTCAATCTCAAGAAATTAGAGCTCACTAGTAGCAACATAGTCATCATGTTAACGTTTAGCTATACAGCTAGACAGTGAAACCCATTGGACAAAGTAGATAGGATATCTCTACAAATATAGAAGTATTATATATTTTAAAGTGATCTTTCAAAAATAGACATTTCACTGAATCAAAATTTATTACTTTCTCTGTGATATTCTTGCTACATCACTCAATAAATTCATAGTATTTAATCAAATAAGACTTTATTTTAAAAGATTAAAAGGAGAAAGATATATTAGAGAACTTTTTAAAAATTCATATATTTATATTTATTTGTATTTTTCCAGGATTTTTCCTCTTCTATAGTTTTTTATATATGTACAAAATTGACATGGAAATGGTAAGTAAAAGATGCATCATGTTTCTTTTGTCAATCACATGGAATTATTTTTTATTTATGGAAATATTCAAACCCACGTGCAATGTACCACAAATAAATAAAAATATTACTTTAAGTCAGAATCAGGTATTCAGTAGAATTTTAAAAGAAGTAGAATGTAAAAGACTTTGGTATTGTTCTTAAGTAATCTGATTCATAGTGAACGCCTTAATAGTATAAAATTCTTAAGAATACGAAATAAGTTTTTAACACGTTTAAGAAAATATTTATAAGATACTAAACATTATATACATATATAAATTTAATAATTATTATTGAAGTACAGAAAGCATTGCATCATTTATTACTAGTAATATTAAATTTGTAAAACTATATACTTTGAGAAAAAATGTATTCATCATTTTAAATAAAACTTGTTATCTACATACTATGTTCTTGATAGAAGAATTTAATTTAACACGTAAAGTATAACTATTCTAGTCACTCGCAAGCAAATACATATTATTCTCTTTGGTTTCCTGAGTAAAAAACGTTTTTTAAGTTAAAGCCCGAGCCCAGAGAACGTTATGCACAAATCTGCGGACTGAATCGATTTGCTGAAGTATTCATTTCCAGTTATAGGAACTTTGTAGGAAATCAAAAAGTAAACAGTTCAGCCTGGGATGGATTTGGTATGAAATTCAAAGAATAATATAACCGCAGCAATATATGATAGAGTTCAAGTTGCAAATAGAACCATTTTCAAGCAAATGAAACTTCTCAACTCAAAAATTATGTACAGAAATCAGAAACTACACAAGTATAAGTGTCTGATCTGATCTAATACTGGACTAATACATTACATGAAATAAACAAACTAATGCCATAAAAGAGAAGAGTGCTTCAGAAAATAAATGGAATAGCGCTAATTAAAAAAAAACGGATTATGCTGCCACAATGATGAGTTTGATCATATAATAATAATAAGACAGAATGTAATAGAATAAATTAAATTTCAGCTTTTGAGGTCTGTGCCATTAATACCTCTGAACCGTAACATATTATATTAGCGCCCTTAGCAATATTTTATTTTGAGAACACATACTGAGTATTATTTGGTGTCCAGTAAGTTTTGCGTTTGGTGTCCACAATAGTTGGCAAAAAAAAAAGGAGGGTTGAAGGGTATCGAGTGTTGCTGCAGAAGCATGCTACAGAATAGGTAGTATTATATCATTGACAGGCGATTTTAACAAAATAGGTATGAACGTGATAGAAAATAAAATAAAACACATTGGTTATTTGTGGAAGAATAATAGCCTTGTCATTGGAGGAGACTCCTTACGAAGGCTGTGCACCTTTTATATTATTCGTAGAATCATAGGCATTTCTGAAAGGTTTAAGTGGGGCATAACACATAAAAGGTTAGTAAACATTGGCATAGGAGTTTTTTTTTCACCCTTAACTTAGTTACAAACTTTAAGCATAATGCAAATCATTGTAATAATATACTAATACTATTAATACTATTAGCAGAGTATTTTTTTTTACTCTTTTACAAGTAATTTTGGTTGTCTTATGAAAACGTAATGCCATACTGCCGCTCCCTGCTTTAATTAGTGTAGCTTTTATCTGCTAAAAGTTAGTATGATAAAACGAGAACATTTTACAAGCATTTACACTGAGAAAATATTAACACAATTTTTTATAATACACTAGTATTATTTCATTATTACAATATTGTTGTTGGTTTGCGCTATAATTACTAAAGTAAAGGGCAACCTACGCGAATACAGGCATAGATTTTGAATTTCAAATTATAATTCAAGTGAGTGCCGTAGTGAGTACAAAGTAAGAGGTAAAAAGCAAAGCCAGCCAAAGCTACGGGGAATTGCAGAGTTTTTGCGCTATCTTGACGTACGTATGGACGAAGTGTACATATAATCTAAAGATTCACATAACCATTGAAATATTGCGAGCTCGTGAAATAATACACATGTATGCCATTATAAGCAAAATATTATCTTAAAACAATTATCAATGAAATCAATAAAAATAAAGAAAAAATGTATAAAATTTATGAGAGTTGGTTTGTACTTTAAGCTTGCCGGCAAATGTGAGATTTCTGACAGTACGAGTAAATACTTTAGATTGTTTTCTTGACTACGTTTAAGCGAGCTTACGTCATTAATTTGGAACTGAGAAACGTTTTTGCACAAAGACTTTTAGGTCAATTTTTCAATTATTTCTCATTGCGATTTGTATATTAGAAAAATGTTTAGATAATTTATTGTATATTTTTCAATATAAGCAATTTTTAATAGAACTATTTTTAAATGTGATATGCATGCGAATGTATGTATAACTGCCTATTTCTTCTGATAACATTTAGTAAGCTAAAGTAAATGTTAAAAATTTCTTCACAGCTGTAAAATGATACTATCATGCATTCAAAATAAATTATAAGCTTTTGTTTTATCAGCGTTTATTAGGCACATTGTGTTGCTCTGCAAGAAAAACATCACTAAATGCGGAAATTAAAAATTATTAATGGGTTCAAAAAGAAAAAAAGCTGGATCAATTCATTGTAGCAATAAAAATGACGTTTTATATAAATTATATTATATATATATTGCATATAGGATCAAAAGTGCTGGATTGGTATATCAGTCTACATTAAAATAAGATTTTATCAAACATAAGTTTACTTTCGTACACACAACCAGTTATATGTGAGTTATTCTGGCTAGTCTCTACAATTTCTAACAGTAACAGTAAAGTAATTCTACTATTATTTCTTTTTACTTCTCTCATTATAAATCCAATATATAGTAAATCAAAAGGCCCGTTAACATAAATAAAACTACATAATGAAATTTAATACAATTCCCAATATTTTAGCTTAACTTAATAAGCATACGGGCTATTTCGTTTGTAATTCTCACTTGATTTGAACTACACGATTTATTTATATATAAAACTACATCATGAAATAATTAGCTCAATTTAATAAGCATACGGGCTACCTCATTATAATTCTCACTTGATTGGAACTACACGATTTATTTATATATAAAACTACATAATGATATAATATAATTCCCCATGCTTTAGTTAAACTAATAACGATACGGGCTACCTCATTTGTAATTCTCACTTGATTTGAACTACACAATTTATATATATATGAATATATTGTTACTAGAATAAAGCTACTATTAGTTATTGTGCCTTTTAGCCTTCACTAATCTGTATAGTAGTAAAAGATAGTATTATTTTGTTAATAAGAATACATAATTTTTGCATTGTATGATTGTCATTTTTGTTGAATTTTTAGTTAAATCTTTAACAATAAAAATATTGACATTTTTAGTATTAGAAAAAATAATGCTACGGTGTTACATTTATGATTACTATTTATTTTTCATTTGGTTCAAATAAAGCGAAACGGTGGTACTAGGTCTACTTTCAGCAATCGTAAGACCCGAACAAATGAGATAGATAGATACTTTACTCTGTTTTTCATAGAACTTGCAGATGTCAATGTTATTTAACTTAATACTTGAAAGATAGTAGTTTACAAGCCAGTTAAGGAACCAATGACTAACTTAAATTTTGATATATTTACAGTAAGAAAACTGTCAACATTTTTATTGTTGATCCGAATGAGTTTGAGGCTTTTGGCAATCGCGTATGACTTCCGAAAAAATTAATATGTAGCATTGGTACTATATGACATGTGTAAGGTGAGTGATACTTTGTACTAGAGTCAATACTGAAATAAGATTTTTACACTTCGTAACAAGTAGATTTAGTAGTGTAAGATTGTAAAAATTTCAAAGCTGCCTCACTATCCGTATATATAATAATATTGATATACAAACAACGTTTAATTCGATATTTTATAATACAAAAAGAAATAGTATGTACTTCCTTCTTAAATTTTGTGAAAAACTTTATAAGTAGAATGGCTAAATTAAAAACAATTAATTTTGGTTGAATATTGCATAGAACTTCATTGGTCTTAAAAACGTTTTATTAAGTAGAAATGTGTCCTGAAGATTTCTATTTGGTCAATCCATCCGAATGATCTCCTACTTCGAATGATCGATTTCTATTTTTCTTCAGAATATGTTAAATATGCCAAATCAGATACATATGCTACTATACATCTTTAAACCTTATTTCAGTGTTGCTATTGCTATATTTCACTTTTTTAATAACATTATTTTCTTTCAGCAACATTTGAATTAAATACTGTGTATACATAGTGCTATCTTGGCATAAATACGGCTTTTAATTGTAGAGTCTTCAAAAACTCCAAACTGCTTTTTCTTATTAAATCAAAGACTTGTTTCAAGTTACATTATTAAACATATATCATATTGTTTCTCTGTTTCAAAATTGTTTTAGAATTATTTGGTATTACTTAAGGTTTGAAATTTTAAGCGGCTGTATTAGAAGTAATTCGCTTCTGACGTGCTATAAATTTTTATAGCAACCAAAATTTAAAATGTTTTATAAGATATATTATGCCTGATTATGACCTTTGTACTATATTACCAATTTTGAGATAAGGTTTTTGTTGTATGTTAATTATAATTTTCTTCTTTACTGCTCATATTGACTGGAATTAAATTATTAGGAGTCTATTAACGATAAAGACGGCAAATAAAATGTGATGATTACCGTGGTTTTAAAAGTGGCCAAATCTATGTTCTAAAGCCAACTATCTATAAAGACGATTAAGCGTCGTTCAATCATACCTTACATCTGTAATACGAAAGTCACTGCATGTGAGTGATAATTAAAACATATATTCCTAAACCTGTGTTCATCGACTATATCCTTTTTCCATTTGTTTTAATCTTATAAAACTTAACAGATTTTTTTTTTTTTTTGGTTTGTTTAAGTCATGTTATTAAGAAATTAATTTAGTATATATATATACTATTTTAGGGATCATTTTATAAATGTATATTTTCATCTACAAATTTTAAAAATTTGCATGGACTCTAAATTACCATTTAGATTTTAAATAAATGGTTTTATAATTGACAGGAACTATATAAATATTAACTACTTGCATTATTTTATTTTTCTTACTGAAAATGATTGCCTATTATTCTAAACTATTTGTGGAATATGTGGGTAACTTTATTATTTTGCATGCAAAACAACATCAATGCAGCAAAGCAAAACCTGAGGATATAAAATATTTCTACCTTGCGAGTCGTCGTCATCTCCACCCACTTGAGCAAACCAATGAATTGTTGCGTTAGTGCTTTCCATTAGTTCTATTAATGATTTGCATGATTCAATAAGTGCAAGATTAGCATAAGTGATTTTTAAATAATTTTCTTAATTGATCTTATCAAATGGCTTAAATGGTTTTTATTATTAAAATATATCTGTTATTAAAAAAATATACCTCTTCTTTCTGCACTGCCTTCTCGGCTGTCTCTTTGAATCGGTTCAGCTGAAATAAAAAAAAATATATATTATTAGACACGATATCCTAAACAAATTAATACTCTTCTATATATATATATATAATACACATATATAGATATATATATGATAAGTTTTTGCAAGAAGAAGTTCAAAATCTGTTTATGAAGATGTTGATTTATCAAGGGAATTAACACATGATGAAAATTTTGGCTATAAATAACCTAAACAAGTTCAGATATAAATTCCAAGATGAAAAAAGTGGGAAAAAAACTTGGAATAAAAATAAACAAAATATGTATACTCAAGCTGCCTATTCATAACTCATTACAAATCTCACAAGATATAAAAATTGTCTGCACATCTGTGCTGGAAAAGTAAAATACATCATGATTTGTAGACATGAGTAACTCGGATTCGTTAGCATGAGTAAATCAAAAGTAAAAGGTTTTGAGTTGAGTAATTGATATGAACGAAGTTAATTTAAAAATTTGGTTTTAAACGTATTTCTCTATGTAGCATTAGTCACTAAAGTAAATTTGAAGAATTTACTCTCATATATCATACATATGTTATAATAGATTATGTACACAAACGGTATATATGGTAAGAACATAATTGTTAACTTAATTTAAAAATGTTTTTTTTTCTAGTTCACTGCCGTCTAATTTATTTTTGATATTTTATTTACTTTCTAAAGACGTTTATTTTATTTCTTTTTTTAAATTTGCTTTATATTTCACTTTATCAAAAAAATTAATTAAAGATCCTATTATCTTAAATACATTGAATAATGAGTAAAGTCCAAGTTTTATAATAAATAATTAATTTTACATTTTAAATATATATCACGTAAAACAAGATAAATACACATTAAACCAAATCAGTGTTGTATGGTATGTTCAGTTGTAGAACTAAAGTCTAATACGATTACGTTTAATGAAATTTTATACACAGATAGACAATTATAGTTAATTAATTTATTTTATCATTCATTTACAATTATATATAAACACACATAAATATAGTATATAAGCTCATTCTCAAGCTCCTTAAGAAAAGAAATAAGTAGGTGATGGCAAAGAACTCTTCTAGAGCTCACTAAGAAAGCGGGTCACCATAGTCTTTGAACCCATCACTCATTAACTAATCTTTACATATACTCGTAACAAACATGAATAAAAATCACAGCGGAACTGTATCTCCACGGGGCTACCAGTTCACTGCTAATCCCCCTGCCACGGCAGCAGGGAGACACAAAATTCACGCTTTAGTATCAAGATGACTGAAACTGAAGAGACCCTATGCTCCACTTAGGTGAGAAAGACAGCAGTAAGAACACCAATCATATGTGTGTTTAGAGGTAGATGCATTTCTTAAAGCAATGGAAAATTAATACATCCTGTTAACGGATCGAGAGATCAGTTTTTTAATATACACATTATAGACAATATAGACAAAACTAAATATAGTTATTTATTTTCTTTACGAACTTATAAACTTTAGTCTGAAGAATGGTATTATTAGGGGAACGAAGGACATCAACGGTTTTTTCTACTTCACCAATTTGACTTCGAAGGATTGCTTTCATTAATATATAGACAACTATATTAACATACATATTAAGATATATGGACATTTTTAGTTAAATTAATAAATCGAAAAGATAAATAACTAATAAATATATAAGAAATAAGCTCTTCATTGTAAATTGGTGTGAAGTTTACATTAGCGCAGAGCATTTGCGGCCGACTCCTCATTCTCTTCACAGAATCTACAGTTTTCATCCGTATGTGTACTCAGTCTTTACATTTATTTTTTGTATGTACTTTTCCAGAAAGATTAACTGACTAACATAAGCAAATTAACACTCGTTTAAATATTTAGACAAGAAGGATTCGGCGATAATGAAACAGTTGATAAGATTGCGATGGATGGTGCCTTGAAAGTTACTTAATATTTTAATATGGAGAGGTTCGTTAGGATATTAAAAAAAGTCGCAATGTACCAATGTTCCTTCAAATTTTTAATAAGATCTATTAAAAATGTTTGTAATATGTAGGTAGAATTTGCTTTGAAGATATATCACAAACTTGATTGCTCATATTTACATGCATTATACTTTTTAATTTTCAATTGTTGTAATTTTTTCTATATCAAAATAACAATAGTTTGCTTAGTTGTGAATCCCGAAACTACAAAAAATATATATTTTTTTAATATCTAATGGACCATTTAGGTTAAACATATTCATGTTGTTATGGTAGCGAAAATCTATGAAAATCTATATAGCAGATCACATAAAAAGAACTAAAAATGAGTATACATGGCTTAGGATAGAGTTGCAGTTAGGGTGCACATTGGGAAATGACGCATATATGTATGGCAAGCAAGTTTAGTATATGGCTATATTCTGAGCTCAATTTGTTTAGGACAGTTCTTGCTGAATGGGAAGGGCGTCGTTCTTCTCGGAATATATAAAAGATCTGTGGATGTAAACATGATTGACACGAAGAAAGGGTTCCACTGTTTCATCTTGGAGTTAGGGTTTTACTGAACATTATGTCATTGGAGTTAGCATCTGTATAGCATGCAAGAAGATATCTTTAAGACAGTAGTTGATTATGCTTTTTTACAAGAAGTATTTTGAAACTTGTGTGAAGATGGTCAACATGCAATGCCAAACAGTCTCAATCTGTCAAGCCATGTTTAAACATGATTGGATCTTATTGCATTAGCAAAATCATCATTCAATCTTATTAAATAGTATTTCATATTGTGTAATACATTTCACTTTATTATTTAAATACTAATTTAGTAGATTTAATAAATTTCCCGAGGGATTAGAATCAAAAGCAATAGCATAAAACTATTATATATATATATAAAATTGGCTTTTCAATATTTTGTGAATAGAAATGTGTTCCCAGTTGGGTATGATTTATAGTCTGGTGGTGTAACTTTAACATATTTGATGAAAATGACATTACAGTTACCGTCAATGGACAATGCTAGAGAGACATAATAATTGATTTTATGTAACATCAATTATATGGTTTCCATTTAGATGATATGTGTTCTCAACAAGATGGTACCTCTAAATACACAATCAATATACGGAGAGAAAAATACAATACTCCAGAAATGGCGAAACTCATTATACAATGTAGCTCTATCGAAATTTTTCAATGGAGTTTTCTAAGTTTAAGTTACCCAATAAAGCACAAACCAAGTGAATTATCAATATAATGTACCTTCTGCTCAAAAAGTATCCGGATTTTGTTGTTTGTTAACTACTCCTTAATAGACTTTTTTAAAAAAAATTTTTTTTGTTATGTTGGTACACCCTTTCTTGACATACGGCCAATTAGTTTGTATACAGCAGCTGTTAATGCGAGACTACCTCAAGTGCATTTACCGATTTTTACTATGAAAAATACTTGCTGTACGCGTTTTTATGACCAAATACGGCACCACTGTCATCACTCAGGCACCATACTCACTAGATCTGGATCTGTGCAACTTTTTCCTGTTCCCGAAACGCAAATTGCCCCTTCGTGGTAAGCGTTTTGAGTCGACTGAATCGGTAAAAGAGAATTCGCTGAAGGAATTAAAAGCCATACCTTCACGGGCCTACGAAAAGTGTATGGAAGATTGGGTTAAGCGTTGGCATATGTGTATCGCTTCAGAAGGAGCATATTTTGAAGGAGATAAAATAAATTTGGAATAAAATTTAAATTTGTGTGTTTTATTTACAAAATCCGAGTACTTTTTGAACAGAAGGTATACATGAATATTTTATATTATAATTATTAATTTTTATATGAAATCCAACATATTAGCTTCCATTTAATTAAATTTCATATTAATTTAATAGGTTAAAAATGTATTTTACTTTTGAGTTTATAAGTTCGAATGAATTACTAATATTATTGATCTGATATATAAGCATGTCCCCAAAATGAAGCATTCATCAATTAATAATAAATTTAGATATCTTTAACCGTATAAAGAGTAATAGAGAGTTCAATGTTCTAATTTTTTTTTGAAATCCATTTATTTTATTACAATCTGTCAGGTATGAATGACAATAAGTAATATCTATAATTATATATCGTAATAATAGTTATTACGATCTAAAGAAAGAAGGGCACGTATGGACTGTGTCCAGTGACATATCCATATATATTTAAAATAACAGCGTGTGATCTACATGTTCTAATAAGAAAATGTATATTTTAGTAAATATCACGCTATACAATATACTTATTCTACCTACTTTTAAAATAAAAGATATTGTATATAGAGTAGGGTATTATGGTTTTAAGTATATTGTCTATAAATAATCCTCTACATTGTAAAGAAAATAGTAGAAAAGGCGTTGTCTTCCACGACAGCAACTTCAGACTTAACACACACCTTAAACTTTTCGATTGTAAGTTATTTGAAGGAAGAAGGTTTTGCACACATGTCGCAAAACCGGCAGAAGGCACATCATTTATTTATGTTTCACAAAGAACTTAAGTAAATGAAGAGGACATTTTTTGTTCTCAAGCTTTTCAAGTACTCAAACCATAGTTTTGATGAAACTTAATGATATGCGTAATCTGCATTAAACATGCACTTTGAAGAGTTTTTTTTTTGAAAATAATTTTTTAAATGTTTTTACTACGATATTTTAATTTAAATTATAAAAAATTATAATTGAATTAAAAGTGTCCTGATTTTGCACAATATTTAATCAAATAAGACATTGCATACAGTATCTTTGTTAAAAAATATTTAAATTATCTAAAAACCTATTATGGCCAAATGGTTGGTAATAACCTTATTTTTAAATATATTTAAGAAAAATAATTATTTCAACTCCGTTTCCATAACTATGTCATTTTACAAATTTAAAATATAACAAATTACTGAATTTTATTCAATTTTAACGGCATGACGCATCCTGTGTAAATGACTTATCTCTTCGCGTGTTCAATTAAAATTAGAAAGTTGTGCAACTTCTTAAATTTTGGAAAAATTATCTTATTTTTATTGAAATCGTATTATGTTGGCTTCCTTTAAATCGCGAAGGCAGCATTATTAGTTATATTGCAAGGAAAACATTACATTTTACAAAATGACTCAACATTTTACTTTCCCTTCTTTTTTGCACTTTCTTTGTTTCTCATTTTTTTCACATAAATAGGAAAAATTTTTTATTCAATATGAAAATCTTATAAGATTCTTTTCCAACGACAAATTTACTTCAAAAAAAAAAAAACACAAGTTCACAACTCCAAGAGGAAAATCAATTTACCCCCACAAATCCAAAGTGAAATGCAGTGCAGTTGACTGCGACGTTTCTTTTTGGAATTTTACGTAAATTTATTTTTAAACTTTTAAATAGACGCCCAAATGCAAATATATGCATACACAAAAAATTATTCTTTAAAACAGAGCAGAGACAGTTTTATTTTAAATAAATATAAGTCACATATGAGATTAAAGTTTCTCTTCGAGTTTTTTTTTTTTTTCATTTTAACACTGCTGTGCCGTAAGTTACGCTGGCGTCAAGGCTGCACTTTAATCAATTGTTTTCACATGAATTTTTAGTAATTTAATTTTTTTTCACTCGCATATAAACGCGTGCAATATTTGCATAAATTATTAGATATATTAGAACGATTATTATTTGTACCTGTTTGACTATTTGTTAAAATTTGTTGATCGCCCCCAAGACTCGCCATATTTTTTACTTTTACATCAGTCACTTGGATTTTTTCTTAAATTTTAGAACTAAAATGACGACGACGCAAACGACGACGAATACGAAATTTGATCGAATAAGAATTGAAAAATAGATAGAAATGTAGTGTAAAGAGGAATTGAAAATGACAAGTGTATGAAACGTACAACAGTACTAAAATTTAGTACAAAAACTTACATGATTTGTAGGGTTGTCGATATTGTTGCATTAAGCACTTTATACAAAAATCGATCATATGTTGTTACTTCAAGCATACTTATATGAACAATATATATGTTGAATGTTCGTATCAGAGAATATCTTTTATCTATCTTTATTTAATATCTTTTTTATAAAATCTTCTTTGGTTCGTATATTACTAAATTTCGAACTAAAATGAATGTTTTAGTGTGTTCTATGGCACTTGGGTGTTAGAATATTATTCAGCATTTTTATCTTTACCAAAATTCTTCCGTGTTGGAATATTCCAAATGCAAACTTGTGAATAAAATAACTAAAATATTATGCTTAATTCAACCAAATTTAATAAGTTGAATATAACAATACTGCTTATTTACATATTATTTTATATAATAAAAAAAAATAATATATAATAAATAATATAATAATATATTATTTTATATAATAATTATTTAATATAATAACATTTTATTAGTGCACACAGGTTATTGACATACATATTGTCTTTATCCAGTCAAATAATTAAGACACATACCGTCTAGGTTAAGCGTAAGACTGGTCTTTTTGTTATATATGCTACTATTGTCTATTATATGAATAATTAATACATTAACAACATTTAAAGGTAGTGACCACATCAGTGTTTCAGCAAACATTAATCTCGTCTATGTAACATTCTCACTTCATTTTTTCGAACGATTTTTTGCACTTTTGACAAATACTTCGAGTAACTAATTGTCAAAAGAGAGAAAATCGTTCGACAAAACGAAGTGAGAAAGTTACTTAAACGAGCCGTAGGTCTAGTTTGCATAAATTGTCAATGCATCGTATTTATTAGCTGTTTATTTGTTACCAAAATATTGTTTTATCATTTTTTCTTACGATTTTTTATTTTCATATGTTGTTTACCTTTTATTCTTAGTACACCGTGCCATATAAAAAAATTAGATTGTAACGGCATTTATTATTAATAAGCTTCCACTTTTGTTTGGATATACTACAGTGTAGACATGCTCCTCTTTGCGTGCATTTGAATATATTACAATAAGTTAGAATAATATGTGTGATCAAAATGTATATGAAGAAATGTTTAAATATAAAATTACACTAAGTTCAGATTTTTAATTCAAATTCAACTCATGGCGAAAATTCTTATGTTGTTCAAATTAATGGTAAAAAACCAGGTCCTAAATTATTATATAGTATTATTAATATACAAAAAAAGTTCGTAAATTTTATAACAAGAGCTTAAAACATAAAGGTTATTTATTTTATTCAGTATCTGGATTTGATTATCTTTCTAACAAATAATAGGTCTACTCTACAAGTTGTTTTTAGTAATTACGAGTATACGTTCTACCAGTAAATTTTCAAGTTAAAGAATACCAAAGAGAGAGAGAGAGAGAATGAGCAATATTTTTGTTAAATTAACAAAAAGATAAATGATTATAAGAACCTTTTGTTTGCTTGTAAAATTAGAACTGATGTATAAATCAGCTGTTTTATTTTAAATTTCAATTTATCTGTAGTTTCAGTTGCGTGAATTTAAAGAAATTTTATATTAATATAAATGTAAAATAACAAATAAGCAAAATAATTTAAACACTTTTGCAATCCTTGAACTTTTTTCTTGGTAGTTGGGAAGCATTAAAAGCCATACTGTGGACTTTGAATCTAAGAAAACCATTTCTAGGAGATATAAAATAGATAAATTTCAGTCATTAGACTGTAAAGGTCAAGAGCTGAAACACTATCCGAGTAATCAAAGGAAAGACATTAGACATTAGAATACTAAAGCATTTATACAACAAATATATTCAAGCCAAAATTGAAAACATGAAAGGGGAGGAAGGAAGGAAATTGTTGTTAGGTAGTAATTACTGACTAAGGGTAAACTCTGTGCAAGGGATTATTGTAACCACGATTGCAAAGCGCAATTTGGGAAGGCTTGTACCATATATTAATATGTAGGTCAGTGGAGCTACTCACTTTAACTCATTGAACTTACAATTTTTTCTTACATTGTTTATTTAAATACAACAGTTGAAACCACACTTTGCATGAAGTAGTTCTATAAAAGTCTAGTAGTTCTACAAAGATCATAATAGGTATATTATTTTCCTACTATCTCAGGCAAATATTCGAGTTATATTCGTAAAACAGACCTAATAACTATATATGTGTATTACGTATGAAACACAAACCATTACACAATAATACCAAATATTTATATTTTTATTATGGTAACTCTACTTATTTGAACTAAATCATTCAGCTGTTTATTTTGTAAACTCAATAAGTGTTTGTTTACTTATTGTCGACTTTTTATTTAACATATATTAATAATGTTATATATGTGAACATTTGACACATATACGTTTAATATGAAGTAATTTTAAGTAATTAAAAGCTATAATGAATGATAACTATGAAAATATATTTGGCTGCACATTCCAGGTTAGTATGGTGGTCCTAAAAAAATTTAGAGATTGAATTGAGTTTTTAATATTTTGTAAATTCTGTTTAGACTCCGGATTTAGTAATTTCGTTACTTGACCAGGAAGTACAATCTGCAACTATTCCATATCTAAATGACCAAACATTGTCTGTGCCTTCTCCCTCAGATCAACTACTGCATAATAATGCTACGCATCATATACCATTTGTAGAAATACACACGAATAATATACGTCCACAAATTAATAGTTTTACTAATGTTTTTCGTCGAAGTAATCAGGAAATCAAATCAGAACCAATAAAATCAGAAAGTACAGATAATGCCGGAAAAGATCGTACCAATAGAACTCCTACACCTGCTAGAAGCAATAACAGTTGCAGTGGTAGTGATAGAGTCGTAACTCCTAATGAAAATATACAAAGTGCATCTAATTTAAACGCTAATTCGAATTATTTATTGGGAGAAGCCTGTCCACCCGAATTGCTTAACAATATAGCATTTCCTATTGTGCGTAAATGCACGGATTGTCCTTTTATGTGTCTTGACTTGGCCAGCTTCAACATTCATATATCAATTCACAATGGTAATGCACATGCAAGAAATTGTGCAAGGAGCGTTATACATTGTCCAGGTATAAAATTATATATTTTAAATTGATAAGATATTCATAAAAGATAATTTTTTAGGTTGTGAAAATAAATTTTATGCTGAAAAATCGTTTAAGGTGCATTTGCATGAAGATCATTATATGTCAATAACTGATTGTGAACAACTAATAAATGTAATGAGGCAAACTGCAAACGAACGAGGAGGCACGCAAAATATAAATATCTTGGATAATAATATCACTGAGTCTATTCAAGAAGCTCCTAAAAAAAATCGGATTTACCTTAAAGATGTAGAGTGCTTACGCGAACCGCGACGTGAAGTAACTGAGCCAATTAATCAAGTATCAGAAAATTTATTACAATCCTTAGGTGATTGCGATCCTATGTTAAATGTTTTTAATGCAAGTGATGATATATTTGGGATATTTAACACAAATGAAATGACTAAAAATGGAAACAAATGCAGTAATACTGTTGATACAGCGATTCCCAGGGCGAGACCTAAACAAAAAATATATATAAAAAGTGTAGATGTGCTAAGAGAACCACAAGTAAACTTTCATAGTAACAATAGAACAAATATGACTGCTTTGGATTATAACGAAAGAGATTTAATAATTGAAAACGGTGTTACTTTTTCACCAACAAATGGATACAATAAGATTGATCAAAATATTGATAAGTTTGGGACGACTAATGTTCACAAACAAAATACTGAAAAGCATATTAGTAATTCTAAACCAAAAATTTACATTAAAAATGACATATTAAAAGGACATAGAGGTATAACCAATATACATGAGAACAGCAATCCAAATGGTTTTATTTTTCTTCCTTCAAATTGTGGGCAAAATGACACAGATAACTACTTAAACAATTTGGAAAATTTGTCAATATCAGTGCCAACTTTAATTGAAGATTGTGATCAGTTAGAATCAGAATGTCAAATAACCGAAAAATATACTTTTGATAATACGAATTTAATTACGAATGTTAATGATAACAATAATTATAATTATTTAACAACATCAAATGATAATGATTATTTGATATGTGATCATGTTTATCCAAGTGTATCTAGTAGACTAGAAACACCAGAAAACTATTCAAATGAATCATCGTCACCATTGCCGGTACAATCAGTTTTAACAACACCAAGTATAATTGAAAACATGTTTCATAATTCGCTACCATCGTCAGTACCTATGCCAGAAGTTCCAACAGCTGTATTAGATATACCGGTGCAATTAGCAAATCCACAGCAAAAACAAAAAATATCTATAAAAAATGTGGACATTTTAAAAGCGCCACAATTTCAGGAACATCGTGGCACTCTGCATTTACGTACAGTCGACGAACTTAATTTGATGAATAAGAATGAAGTTGAAAATCTTATAGCACCTCATTTAGATGTACAAGTCTGCGCTCAAGTAAATGAAAATGGTATCATGAGTGGTATCATAAACCCAGCAATCATTACGTCTGCCTCAGATTATTCAACAACATACAATAGAGAAAATATCAAAGTGCATGAATTGGCACCTCATACTGATAACACATGGGCTGATGATTATGATTTGGGAGATGATATTGACTGTATTATTACATCAATTGATCCAATTAATTTAAATGAAAATATTTCTTTAGGGAAAAACATAACTGATTTGGATACACAACAAATGTCTGCCATAACAATTCGTGATATAGAAGAACTTACAGATACGGCACAGCAAAATATCGATAAAAATGATATGCAAATTGCTGAAGTATCAAACCAAAATGATCGAATGCTGGGCAATATTATTGAATCAAATTCTTCATCGAATATCGGTGCAAACACAAACTTTAACACGTTAAGTAAAAATATTCAAGCAATTCAAACAAACGTTAAAACAGGCAAACAACTGTCTAACGATGTAAACCCTTTAAAAGCTCCTATAGAAGTATTATCTGCAACTGCAACATCTCCACCACCATTGGTACCAGTTTCTTTAAATACAATATGTACGTGTGCAAGTTCAGGAACACAAACTAACTGTTTAACGAATTCCATTGCCAAATCCTCACATTCTACAACTCAAACATCTACTTTACCGGTACCGCCACTAGTACCCGTGTCATCACGTTATCATCAATATCCGAAGAGTATTGCAAGTTTTAATACAACTGGAAATTCTACTTCAAATATTACCGCAGAAAAAGCACGTATTTATGTTGCTCATAATCTTTTAAAAACAGTTGACAAATTGGAAAAAAATAGTAACGTTACAGAAAAAGCTAAAATCGGACGACGAAAAGTTGATGCTAATTGTAATGTATTAGGTTCCGCCACAAAAGTAATAACCAAATCCAAAATGTTAGCGAAAAATGAAGTCAAGTGTAATGCAAATGGTTGCTCTTATGGATTCAAAAAACGAGAAACATTAGAGTATCATAAACGTTGTCATATTGAGTAAGTATTAGATTATTTAATAAAATTGTTTTTAAAATTGTTCTTCCTTTTAGCGGTCTTTCAAATGTTTCAAATTCGCATCATATGCAATGCCCAGAATGCAAATCCACATCATTTAGCAGTTGGAATACTTTGCATACGCATCTATGGCGTGTTCACGAAGTGGACATGGAATTGTATAGTTGCGATAGGTGTACTTTTAAAACACCAGTTTTCTCAAGACTATTTAATACTCACCTAAAGATACATTCAGAAGATCGAAATTATAAATGCGATACATGTGATAAGGCATTTAAAAATGCTAAACAGCTCAAAAATCATCGACGTTTGCATCGTATTAATTCAACTTTTGCAGCAGACACAGGTTGTTCTGAAATTCCATGCAAAACTTCTGATGTATATCGGTGTGAAGATTGCGGAGCAGTTTTCGCGCATCAAAAAACTTTAAAAGACCACATTTGTCGAAACAAGAATATGTTAAAATGTACTGTTTGTGAGCGTAAATTTACGTCGAAGAATTCACTTAGAATGCATATGTACAGTCATGAGGTAGATAAGCGATTCAAATGCAACCTGTGCAAGTATACAACGAACGACCACAATGCTTTTAGGCGTCACAAAATGGTACATGATGTTGATAAGCAGTACTCGTGTCCTTTTTGCGGGTTGCAATTTATTCAAAGCGTTACATATCAAGTATGCATAGCAACTAAATATGATTCCATTGCAATTTATAACTATTATATACGTATAATCTTATTTTCAGATACATTTACAAAAGAAACATCCTAATGAATCAGAGAAAATTGTACACAAATGTCAATTATGTGCCTTCGCGACTATTAATCCTGTCTTATTTAAAATACACAAAGCCAAGCATGAATCTGAATCCAGAGTAAATTCACACCACGCTGCAATGATTCCAACGTAAATATTATATCGGTTAATAATCCTGCAGAACGAAATGAAGGCAATTGTTTAAGGATCAGTAAAATTGATATCGGAGCACCACCTTTGATAAGTGATAACGTAGTTAAAGATCAGACTCTGCGAGTGGAATCTCGTAAATGAAATATTCTAGCCTCTGATAACGTACAAAAATACACAATAATCGATGATGATGCTATCACATGAGTTAATATTACAGACAGAATAAACCAAAATGAGCTATAACTTACAACAGGGTTTGCATGAATTTTTGTTCAAAACTATTGCTAAATTGTGATTAACTCTTATATTTTTTACTTTAAATTTATTTATTATATTAAATTGAATTTATTGATTTATATGAAATTTTAAGATTGTATATATTTATATATATATATTTAAATATATGTTTGATTTTGTGATATATTTTTTATCACATATAATAATGTAAATTGATGTTCAATTTTATGTCTATTTGTTAGATTTCCTTTCTAGGAGTTGCATTTAAATGCTTCTAAAACTGAGATAAGTATTTTAAGCCATATCTTCCAAGCTGTTAGCGAGAGAATTAGTTATAGAAAGACTTTGCAAGACCTACGCTTATTCCGAAGTTTAAAAAATTCATGATTTGTCGGTCCATAAGTACACAATCCGAAAAATTAGATACAGAGCGAAAATTGAATACTTCTTGTGCTAATGTCTACGAACTATAGATTTTACAAAAATATTCTTTATTACCTATTCAGGTTAATTTTATAATCTCAATTCTAGAAATTCTTCTTCACACTTTTGATGTTGTTGTAGTCCGTGGGGATTGTGTACTGCGTTTGGGAGGTAATGAATGGAACTTGCTCCTCGAAATTAACGAGTACTCCTGTAGCCAGATAACGAGAAAGGATATGCAAGACGATTATATGGGTGGGGATGATAGAGGGGGAAATAGTCCCTTTCGGCAGAGCTCCGTATTGCCGATCGTCATAGATGGTGTGTGGTTTAAGATTGCATATAAATTCGGATATATAAAAAATGGATATTTTTCTTTTAATTAAAAAGATTTTAACTGCAATTAAAAACAACCAAATTCACAAAATAATAGCTCTTTGTTATACAGCATAAATAAATACTTTTTTAAGAAGAGTGATTATTTTATTATTTCAATGCTACAATATTTGGACTAATGGTTAATATGTATATATAAAACAAAAAATGTATAATAATCAAGTAGATTAAATCACAAATGCAAAATATATTTAATTTTTGTCGTTAAAAAATGCTGGCAACTCTGATTGCAAACGCAACAAACGCACATAGGTAACCAAATTCCATGTTTGTGGTTCGGTGCTGGACTGAACGAATGTGGACATGTATGAGACCAGTTCTTGAGAGTTGTCTTGATCTAGATCTGCTATTAGCATTGAATTCTCTTGATTGTTTAAGTCTGGTTGGCACACTAATTCTTTGCGATCATAACAGAACTGTACAATATCACTCTGAGAAGTATTTTCGATATGTGTATCACCACCAATGAATAATACAATTATTTCAGATTCCGTGATCATTTGCATTTTATAGTTATCTACCAAGTACTGGCTACCCTTTTTGGAAATGTTTGTAAGACTGCGTGATACTAACATTTCCGGTATATCGTAAGCACTTCGCTTGTGTACGGTTTGATGGAAAGCATCGAAGTCATGTTCAGGAAAATCATGTTCATGCTCACGTTTGCGACGCAATTTCTTAGTGCCATTTGATTGATTTATATCCTGTCTTGTCGATTTAATGGCATTATCTTTAGTGACGTGTGTTTTGTTCTTTTTTACTGCAAATGATTTCTGTGGCATATTATTATCATTGGTCATATTCTGTGCAGATTTCAAATTTTGCCATTTCCAAAATTTCATCACGAATCCAGACATTTTAGTTTTAGTGTTTTTAAAATGCCATTGAGCCGGTACCATGCCATACATACCGGTATTAGTGAAATTTTTTAAAACAACGCTTTTCCCGTTCTTGTTTTCACTCAATATGAATGTTACATTGCAATCTTCTGGACACTTGCCACGATTCTCGACTACTAATTCGCGGCCACTAAGCGAGTAAATATTCCTTTGTGCATCAATATCTTTACGTTGTCCATAATGGCGGTATTGGGATATTTTTGAAGTTGGAGCTAATTTCTTTTCAATTGATTTGTTGGTAACTAAAGCAAACAGTTCGGATAACGTTTTGGAACGTTGTGCCTCAGTGTTATTGCGTAAACAGTTGTAAGTAATTGTTTCAGAGTTTTCCAATTGCAATTTCCGTATTATTTCACAATCATGAATCTTGAAACCTTCTCCAATTGGTTTTCCAAAACCACCAGAAAGAATACGTAAATAATTGCGATCTGCTTTATTTTGAGAGTTTTTATTAATTTCCCCAACATGCATAAAATTTTTTGTTCTCTGTTTCAAGCTTTCACTGGTGACTATCAATATTTCGAGTATACCATCACCATCCAAATCAGGTAGGATTATGGGAAAATCTAGAGCATCTACTTTATGTGCAGAGCTCTCTTTAAAAAGCCAAAGCCATCGACCTGAAATAGGATTGATTGCACCTAACTGACCATATTCATCCAATATAAGACAATCAGGTCTACCATTGCGATCTACATCAACTAGTGTACAATCGATTGCAACGGGCTCATCAACCAATTCATCAAACCAAGCTACAACTCCTGAACTCCCAATCAATGATATAATACCATGACGTTTATTATTACTTCTTCGGAATTCCGGAAAGAATACATCACCACGATATAAAAAGATTAAATTATTTTCCCAAGAACGTAAGCCGCTTACAATATTAACACCACCTTTTAGCTCGATGCTTGTATAATTGTTGAACCAATTATGTGTTTTAATGCGATCTATTGGAGCTGGACATGTTGAACTCTCATAACAAGGTACCAACCAAACAAAGCCAAATACCGCAAAAGCACACAACACTAAGGACGCTATGAAACAAAATTTTCGTGCTGGAGACATTGGCTCTTGAGATTCCTTCGAATCATTATTGCCTAAAATAGCAACGTTATCAGCATCTGCGTTGTTACGATCATCGTAATTACTGTCACTGTTCACACTAGAAAAATTATTCGTTGGATCGCAATGAGTTGCATCAACGTTAAATCCGATATCAGACATCATGACAGAACGAAAGTTTTCTATACTTGGTGTGTAACTAACTTGCTGATTGTGACCGTTAGCTGTATAAAAATTATAACATACATATAATTAAATATTTATATTTTCGAATTTTAAAATAAACCCTACCGATTTTACTCAGTTTAATACTTTTTTGACGTTGCAAGTATTCTTGTTGTTGTAATAATTGTTTTTGACGTTCTAATTGCAAAGCTTGTTGCTGATTTTGGTATAGAGCCAAACTGTTTGGTGGATTTCTATTTCCTAATCGGTTGTTTTGCTGCAATTGTCTGTGTTTTGATGAATTGTGAATTTCTTCTTCCGAATCAGAATCTGTTGTCATTACCTGACTTAGAGGCGCATATAAGCCATGAAGCATTTTAACTTGAAAACAGGATTCACAAAAAATCAATAATCAACTTTATATTTTATTTTGCTTTCAAATACCTGAAATTTAATATAAATATGTTCGTCGTTAGTTTCAATCCACATAATTTTTATTCATGTATATTTCAATGGTATTAATTTATTTTTAAAAAATATTTCAGTAAACAGGAAGACAACAATATAACGGTAATATAACTGAGAAAACATTAACTGAAAAAATTCTTCTTTTTGCTTTTGTGGAAACTAAAATTCACAATAGAACAAAAACACAAAGTTTTTAAATAATAGTTGTAGTAAAATACTTTTGCTCTATATTTTACTATATGTGCATTCTTAATGTTTTCTCAAATAATTTCAAATAACTTTATTAATCTTATTTCCTTTTAATATCATGAACAGAAATTTAAATTTCTAAATCAATACACTCTGAAAAGTTATTAAAAAGAACGATCCACACCAAAGCGAACGCTTGCGAACGAACGAACTTTTGTAGATACAATTAAAAATAAATACATTGCGCACACCATAAATAACACTATTCATGCTATTTTGACACTTTGAGAAAGCGTTTTTGACAAATTTGAAAACGATATACCTCATTTTGAAAATTTACTTCTCAAAAAGTACTTAATCGAAGTAAAAAATAAGTTTTCAGTATATATTGTAAAGTTTGAAGGTATATTTTACGTTCAATATAAGTAATATTGTGAAAAGTACGTATTTTAAAAATATACACAAATATATATAAAAATTTATACAAGTATGTGAAGCATATATAATTAAAAAGCGCTTTTAAGTTTTTAAATTATTAGTTGTATAAATATCTTAAACTATTATTAATTTTGTTGTAAAAGGAAATTTTAAAATTTCTCGCATTCTTAATATTGTATAAAATTATTCATTTTAATTTTTAATTTTATATTAAATACTTATTTTTGTGCAAAGTGTAGTTTGCTTGCATTATATTGACTATATTATATACAAGATTTGCTCTTTGCGAAAACATAAAATTTGACAGATTGCAAATTTGTCTCACTTAGCAACTTACTGTTTTTTGCCACACTTAAAAGCTGCCGAAAGCACTTAATATAATTTTACTGAATTTAATTTTAAATTTGTTAGTTAATTGCGAAAAAATTATAATTGTGGTTTGGTAATTATCAGTTGCAAATTAATAATACACATAATATATTTTTAAATACAGTATGTACGTAAACAAAAGTGTGGTTTCATAACATTTATATAAATATATGTATATAAATTTGTAAACATTATATAGTTATATTAAAAAGGCCAATAAGAAATAAAGTTTTTATTATAGACGTCAGATGATCAGTTCATGTAAAAGAAAACAATCTACTGCTCTGTCAGAACTGTTAACCGCTGTACAAAATAATTGACATTTGGTGCGTAAGACAGCAGAAAATTGTAGATAGCAGAGAAAATAAAAAAAAATTGTGGCAATTGCGATCAAGTTAATGAAATTGCTCTTTATTAAAATATATTTATTATACCTTCAGAACGAATTCATTTTATAGAACATTAAACATGTTTAAATAAATAAACAAAAAAAAAACAATTAGCTCAAAACAGTGCGCAGTGAAAAGTGAAAACTACGTACAAACAAAGAAGAAGAAGAACAACGACGACAAAGAAAAATATCTAAAATTATTAATTATAAGTATTGTAAATAAAATTGTTTAGTAATAAATTGCTAGAAAAAAATATTACCATCACCGGTCTACAACGTTTTTATATTGATAAGCGATTTGGTTATTAGCGTATAACTGAGTAGAGAACTCCCACACCAACCTAAATAAATTGATTCATATTAAGTGGAAGCAATATAAATGGCAATGGCAAATACACTGGAGGAGCAACAAAGCTTGCGCGAATGCGAAAATTATATTCAGGCTCATGGCATTCAACGTGTACTGAAGGACTGTATAGTACAATTGTGTGTCAGTCGTCCTGAAAATCCAATCCAGTTTTTACGTCAGTATTTTCAAAAATTAGAAAAGGTAAGTTCAAACTCCTTGTATTCCTTTTAATACTTGTAAAAATTTATATTTTGGTAGCTATAAATATATTACATTTTTTATTCATATAAGTACTTAACTTAATTGTTTCGAAAAATATGTATAATGCGTGTTAGTCCTTTACAGAAATTATACACGCAAGTTTGTTCTATAAATAAACAAACTTTAAAGTTTTGCTATTTATTATTTCCATCTACCGTAAAAATAATATGTAATCCTTCAGATCCAATTAGTACTTGTAAATCATTTATATGTAGGTTGTTGGATAGTTAGATGAAAATTTATACTGAAAAAGTTTAGAGATAATAACAGATTTTAAGTGATATATAATAACAGTTATTTAAATCAAATATTTTGTCCTTTATTTAAAATAGGTCTAAAAGAGTTTATACCTGAAGCCCTAAACAATAAATCGTTGTATAAGGAAAATATCTAATATGACACCTATTCTATACATAAGATGTATTTCATATTTTGTGTATAGAGCAAATATCACCAGATATTAGAATCCTCAAATGCAGATAGGTCATACTCCACTTACCTGCGAAAATCTTTACGAATATGAAAGTACGCGCAAGTTTAGAACTCCCCAATGACACTAGAATATCCAATAAGAGGTTAAGGTAATGATTCTGAGGCATTCGACAATTTAGTCGTTCGCTATATACATATACTGCAAATTCCATCAATGTACGACGAAGAATTTTCTTAAGCAAATTTATATAGGAATTTCTCATTGCTTATCATGGCCTTTACAATTTCCATAGCCATTTGTAAATGAACTAGTTTTCTTATTAGATACTATGGCATCATACTAATTTATTTACATTAATTGTTGTTTAATTTTCCCCTTAAATGTATCAAATTTAGCTTAACTATTATGTTTTAATATTATTATAAACAGAGTTTGTTTCAAAAAACTGAGATGTGATTGTTTCCATACGATTGGGACCATGTTATATAGACAATTATGGTCACGTCGAAAGTGAATTTGTTGCTGTTTTCAATGTAAATCAAAAAATTGAAAATGAGAGAAATTGCGATTTATATTCATCACGGTAACGAGGGTTTTTATGTGTCTATAAGGAGTTTATATGTATATTATAATAGTTGTCTTTTAAATTTCATTCATAAAAAAACGCATCAAAATAGTAGTATATTGCCATTTTTATTAGTATATTGTGATATCTCTGATAACATACCTTTTGGTGAGAACCAAAAAGTACTTAAAATTGCCGTGATGCATCGTCCTATGAACAATCGTCTGTATAACATGGTCTTTGGAAACAATAAAATCAGTTGACATTTTTCTAAATATAAACACAATATTGTCACCAATTCGAAAATGAAAGCAGTTGACTTTAGTCACAGTTTAATTAGCCTTTCTTGTATATAAATTATTATTTTTAGCATTAATTCAAGAAAAATGTCAAGAAAAAGTTTCAAAATAATATTTTTTTAAATATTCCAAATACGAGCTTTTGCTATTCAAAAAAGCTGTTAAAATTGTATAGAGGAAGATTTTCCTAAAATTTATCTTCTATATATACACTATAATTCTCTAATTCGATGTTTTTATTCGTTAAAAGTACCAAAATATATAATTAAATTTTAACATAAAAAAATTAAAAAGATTTTTACAAAATAGCTTTTTATCCCAATTATCACGAGTAGAAAAATGTTTGGAATCACTCAACATTTTTCACATAGATCAGTAGTTCCCAACCATTGGTCCACGAAATGGTTAAAAATGGTCTGTAAATCAAATTTAACAAATATGAGTACATATCTTGTAGTTTATCCAGTGAGACCTCATTTATTAGAAAATAAGCACAAAAAATTTTCAAGTAATAATATACCTATTTTATAGCTTATATAATGTACCTATGCACTTATAAACTTCATTATACATTAAACCAAAGATCTATAAAGCATATGAAAATAATCATACAGTTTATTATTTTTAAACATTGTTATTGGAACCCACGAACAAAAATATAATAGTGGTTCTTGATCAAAAAGTTGCTGGGAACCACTGACATAAATCAGGGCAGTCCAGACCAGATTCGATCGCGGGCCAATACAAATCACCGTACAGATTGGTTTTAGTTGTTTTTGACAAAAAGATTAGCCGCGGGACCTTGTGGCGGGCTATACATTGGACAGCTCTGACATAGATCACAATATCTGAGGTTATTATTACTCCTATTTACGTTGTCAAAATTTTCAGAAGATATATGTATATCTTATATATACAAGCCGTAATTTTTTCTTTCAGAGTTGAAAAAAAACAGTATTGACTTAGTTGAAACAAATTAGCATCACTTTTATAATATTTCAAATGCTTGTTTTTGAATTATGTTTTTGTTGTTGTTGTGGTTTGAGTTAAGTGTTATTACACACATTTACTCATTTATGGTTGGGGGGCTTATCCCTGCCCTACACTAAGCTTTAACTATACTAGAATTATTATCATTTATTTATCTTTTAACTGATGACGGGCCGTAGATCAGCATATATTCCTGTGCGTCCTAAGTGTGGACTTAAGGTTTGTTAGGGCGGAGTTGGGCAACGTATCGACTTTTGTGAATAATTTTAGGGCTCTGTCCTTGATATATTTTTTCACTGAGTCGATCCTTAGATCTCTATGCATATCTATTGTCCTAATATACCAAGGAATCTTAATTAGTCTTCTTAAAGCCAGATTTTGTAGTATCTGTAATTGCTTTATGGCAGTATTTGAGGCTTTATTGTATGTTACACAGTCGTACAGTAATGCTGGCTTGATTATTTGAGTATATAATAACTTTGTATTTTTGAGGTTGAATCGATTATTATTAAACAGCGGCTTTACGAGATGTAGAAGTTTAGAGCAACTATTCCGTTTGCATTTCATATGTTTATACCAATTAAGCCATTTTTCAAAAGTGAAAAATTGTAAGCATCAAAATTTATTAATTGAAATAAAAGAAAACAAAATAAATAATGGTTAGCAGTGGTTAGTATTTTTATGTTATATATTTAAATTAATTTATTTATTTATGTATTTGAATTTAGAAGTTCAT